GGTCCCGCAGAGCCGCCCGAGCCGCGCGTTCCCGAGCCGCTCCGTAAGCAGGGCCGCCTGGACCCGGGCTCGGTCGTGCTCCTGCGCAAGGCCAAGCGCGAGAAGGCAGAGAGCATGCTGCGGAACGACTCGCTGAGCTCCGACCAGTCCGAGTCCGTGCGACCGTCCCCGCCCAAGCCGCACCGGCCCAAGCGGGGAGGCAAGAGGAGACAGATGTCGGTGAGCAGCTCGGAGGAAGAGGGCGTGTCCACACCAGAGTACACCAGCTGCGAGGACGTGGAGCTGGAGAGCGAGAGCGTGAGCGAGAAAGGTGAGCGCGGCTCAGAGGTGAAGATGCGCGCGGGTGCCTGGCGCGGAGATGCTGGGCTGGGGTAGCATTGTGCCTGGCGCACCTGCGCCTGAGAGATGCGGTGGGATGCCCGCCGCGGAGATGCTGCCCTCCTAGGTCCCTGTGTACCAGGTGCACATGAGCCTCCATCAGCCTTCAGACAAGTCTGTGATGGGCGCTTAAAGGCGCATGGCCCAGGATGAATGCATGCCTCCTGGCTTTAGAGGTCTACCTACTGAGGTCATAGTCAAGTGAAGGTGTTTGTGTTCCTAATTTAAAGGTGGAAACCTAGAGTACTCTCAGGTGGAGACGCAGGCAGTGGATGGTTGTACTTTTTTTTTTCTTTCTTGCCTTTAGTAAAACGCTACTGCCAGCTCCAGTTTTGAATGAGGAGAGTTTCTTATTTGTTTCCTGTTATTCAGGGAACTAAGAGTGCAGTCTTACGTTCTGAAGTCATTATTTGGGAATGCATTTGTTTATGGGGGTAACTTATTTTCTAGAAAACTAAACTGTGTGTATAAACGAGTGTCTATGCCGTAAAAAAAAAAAAGCTCATTTGTGCATATTCCATCCCTAAAGGTAATTTTTTTTCCGTTTTCAAAACAATCCTTCTCAAAATTTGTAAATAGATTCTAAATGATCTCATTTAAGGTCTTACACATTATGATGCATAGTAACTTTGAGGCGTGAAGTTCACATTCCGAAGTAACTGAGACAGTATGACAGGCTTTTCTCTCTAACTCGGTATTTTACAGTCTATTTAGGCTTAAGTTAACTGAAGTTAAATAAATGTAACAGTTCTGTTCCTTAATCTCACCAGCCACATTTCAAGTGCTCAAAAAAATCTATTAAACAAATGCTCGTCTAGGAAGTGCTTCAATTTAAAATTAAAATTACATGCCTCTCTTGGAGGGTATTCACATTTTGATGCTGTTCATTCAGATAAAGCTGACTGAAATTCTAACTTTGGTGGTGAACACCTTCCTTCTGATAGTTCTGTTTGGCGTTTCTGTGTGTCTATTAATATGTTTGTATCTGGGTAGGGCTATTCTTCTATGTACCCCTTCTTAATTTATAACTTCTTAGTTACATGCTTTAGTGTATTCTAAACATAAGCAATTTTATTTAAAGAATATGCTTGTTTTTTCATCCTCTGACCACTCTCCTTTGACGGCATCTCTTAGTGCCCACACAGTCTAGATCTCTCTACAGGAACAGTTAATAAACTTTATTCTCTCATTAGTGTGACTGCACACCAACTTGGATAGTTGTCTTTGGGATTCATATGTGTCTAAGTTGAGTTTGTCTCTTTTAGCTTGTGTTCACATGGCATCTCTTTGTAAGGTGCACACTGACTGCAAACTTTTACTATAAGCTGATGCATAGTCTATGGTAAGTGCTTTTGATTTCCTTCTGAAGACTATAGTAGGAATTGACTACATAAACACTGTGTGTGACGGGTGTGTTGATAACTACTGATGGGGGATAGACACGTATACTTTCCTTAAAGGAAAGAATCTACGCCATCTCTTATCCAGCTTATGCTACATTATTAGGATGGGTGTGGATTCTGGTAATCACCTCCACATTACTTACAATAGAAAAAAAATGATTTAAGGAAACCCGACGAGATGCATGGACAATCATATGCCAGGCATGGTGTGATGTGTGGAGTTTGTTACCCCCGCAGGCAGCCTTCCCTGGGACTTCAGTGACCTCTTGTAACAGACATAACCCCACAGTCCAGAGTGCAAGCTCTGCTTCCAGAAGAGGAGCATCGACAGGAACATTATAAATCCATACTTCTTCATTTGTGCTCAATCTCATCTTCAAGTGAATTTTTAAATTCCCCAGCCCCTAAGTTCTACTCTGATATTTTAATCCTAAATTAATCATTACAAAATGAAATTGCTAAGTGCTTTATAAGCAACCTCTTAGTAGTACACCATAGACATTTTCTTACTCAAACTTTATTCATAAGTGCTACCGTACCCCACGATTCCCCATGGACTGTCTTGGCAGCCATGACAGTCTGAGTTACCCTGTGGCACCACACAAATTACCTACCCGTCATGTGCCTTCTTTTTCTTACTGGCATGGGTATCTAACTTGGAGGGTTGCTGAATGAAAGATGACGCAGATGTATCAAACCCAGATGTTAAATTAGCATTCTTCCTGCCTTCATTTTCTCCTGTGGTGTCAGCCCTACAGACATCTGTGTCAGGTTTTTTTATTTTTATTTATTTTTTTTTTGTCACAGTGACAAATACCTGAGAGAAGCAACTTGAAAGCCCAAAGATTAATTTTGGTTCTTAGTTTCAGAAATATCTTCTATGGCTGACTGGCTAAGTTGTTTGTGTCTGCAGTATGTAGAGCACCATGTCTGAGAGAACACGTCGCAGAACTGTCCACCCTATGGTGGCAAGAAACAGAGCAATAGGAAGGTATGAGCATCAAGGGACATCTTTGCAAGGCATGTCCGCTGTGACCTGTTTCTTCCCAACTAGAACCTACCTCTTGATCTAATTTATATCACACTCCAACAATAATTTTGAATTTCAGATCTTTGAGAATATTAGTTGCTAGAGGTGTTTTCCTCATGATGTAGTACTTCCCCCAAAGTCGTAACACTGTTGAAGTTAGAACCAGACTTTAAACAAGTGAGCCTCAGATGGGTACGACGGCTCCTGTCTGTCATCTCAACCTGTTCAAGAAGCTGTGGTAGGAGAATTGCCAGAAATATGATGACAACGTGGGCGACATAGTGAAGAACAATGTGCAAAAGGCTCAGGCCTTTTGGAAGAGTAGATTCATAGGCAAATTGTAACAGTATCTAAAGTTGTAGTGACTGTGGCAAAATTACCTGTGTCTGACATGCACAGAGGAGAAAAACAAGCTGCTGTCTATGACAAAGACCCCCATGGGAGAAGCAGGAGATTAGCTGTTTGCAAAGAGGCTTCTTGGTGAACATTGGAAGCCATGTTATATATTTCAGAGTCAGAGGAAAGTGACCACCATAGTATGTGATCTAAAGGGACAGTGGGAGACACGGCTGTAGTTGACTTTATCTAGGTCATTGTCTTGTCCCATTTGTAAATTTCCCAATTAAGATAAATATTTAACATGTTACCTACTGTATTGTAACTACTTAGTATATTGCCATGTTGATCTCTTGGCATTAATGCTTATATAAACACACTATTGCCTTTTTAATTTTTAGTGAATGTATAGTTATCACATTCAATGGCTATACCAAAGTTAAAAAGAGTACATATGTCCCCTTTCCTCACAGAGTTTACATTCTTTTGAGAGCATGAGCGATACATAATTATAGTTGGCTGGGGTGATTCATGACTATAGTCCTGGTACTTTGAGGTTAAGATTGAAGGATTGTGAATTAAGGCTAACCTAGCCTGGTTTATATAGAAAGAGCCTTGCCCACCTATACAACACAGACCCATTTTCACAAGAAGGGATGGGTGCATATATAGGGCACTGCCTAGTATTCTCAAGGTACTGGGTTGGTCCCCAGCACCACAATAGTGATAAGTCTACCATTTATTATGTTACAATCATATGCCCTCCCTTCCTACTATCCTTAGATCTGTCCCACCTCCCATCCACTCCAATTTGACATACTAGTGTTCTCTCTCTCTCTCCCTCTCCCCCTTTCCCTCCACCTCTCTCTTTTGTGTCTGTCTCTCTCTTCCATTTACCACCCTCCAAAATTAGTAATATAAATATCAAAACAAAGCAAAAGTACACAAGAATCATGGAGTCAGTTTTATGCTGGTCAGCTACTCCAGTGTTGAGTATGCCCTAGACTGTGGCTAATATACCCAGTGATACTCGATTGGAGAAAACTGATTTTCCCTTTTCCAGAAGGTATTGCAAATACCTTCTTGGTTAGGTGTGGGGCATTTTGTCTACTTTCCCCTTCTAGTGCTGGGATTTTGTCTGGGTGTCTATGGTGTCACAGTCTCTGTGAGTTTATATGTGCATGAGCCCTGTGTCCGAAAGATGCTCTTTCCTTGAAGTCATCTACCACCTCTGGCTCATAGAATGTTTATGGCCCTTCTTCAGCATATATCCCTGAGACTTGACTGGAGGGCTTTGATAAAGACATTCCAGTTTGGTCTGAGGGCTCCGGAGTATCTAAATGTTAAAGTTTTGCCAAGTAGAACAGTTATGTATCTCCTTTCTCATAGTTTATGGATATTAACAAATATAAGTATTTCTTCTTAGAAGAGGTAAACAGTAACCTTAATCTTGATATTTAGATTACTCTTAAATTTAAATGAAATGTGTGATATAATCCCTTGTCTGGAGCTCAAGTGAACATTCGTGAAGATGTCTATACATAAAGAGAAGCCAAGATGGTGCCATCTCTGAGAAAAGAAAGAAACAGAGTCAGTTTGGGATGAAAACCACTGCTGATTTGTTCCAAGGAGTTAAGTCACTTATTCCAGCAAGGAACTTACTGTGGAAGTTCTAAATCATGAGGAGTTGGAAGAAGAGTCTTGATCTCATCTTCCCTTTGGGTGAACAATACAATGCCATTTCTTTATTCCTTTGAATGTGTGTGCATACATACTTTTTCATTTTATGCATTTTATATGCTTATTTTGTGTCGGCTCAAGGGGTGTTTCTAGTTCATTCTTCAATTTGTCTAATGAGTTTAAACATGGAAGACCTTACCATATGATGACGATTGGACAGCTGAAAATGAGCATTAGCAGCCAAGCAGTTTGCCGGTCTGATTTCTTTCTTTTTTCTTCTTCTTTTTTTTTGTTTTTGTTTTTGCTATTGCAAATAACGTAGAAAAGGGAGGAGAGACCAGTGTCTGCCTTTGGTGAGGGAAAGATAAATATGATATGTCCTCCTAACCTGTCCCAGTGAATGAGCAGTGATTTTAGTTGCTGGATGCTTTGCTTAGAGGAGGAAGGGAGAGGAGAGGAGTAACTGATAGACAGCTGGGACGG